CAGAGACAGAGGTGACATCATACAGGAAGAGCAAAGTTAGGGGCGGTGTCAGGTAGGGGAGCAGTGTGTCCACAGAGAGTGAACAGCTTGCCTTCAGGGCCCCCACCAGTGGCTCGGACCAATGAGCGAGCAGCAGCGATGTCCTGTGCTTATGCATTTTAATTCCTTGTGAGCAAATTCTGATGCTCATTGTTTACAGTATTGTCTTAAATCAAAGACATTCATTCCTCTTGTAGTACATGCACCATTTCTAGACAGTTTTTATGTTTTGCAAAAATGGGCAACAACTTACAGTTTTTAAAAAAAAATATGTTAACATCTAAAGTTCTCCTGTGGCAGCTGCTTGCCCTTGGTTTCCCCACCTTGTGTGTCTCCTGCTGAGCTGCCATGTTGATTCTTCTAAGCACCACTCGCACCCTGGTCTTCCTGAGCCTCCAGGGGCTCCCTCTTCCTTTGGGTGAAGCCTCCTCTGTTTCTTATGTGAACGTTCTCTAATCGTCTGCTTTTCTCTAGACCAGCTCCTTGGAGCCTTGTCCCTCCTGGTCCTGTGGGGGTGTGTGTGCCAGGCTGCCCTGCGGGTCCACTCACTCCTGATGCCACCTCCCTTCCCGTCAGCTCCCCACTGGGAACGATTTTCCCATGTGCTTCCATATTTTCCTCTATAAACTTAAGTGCGAGGCAGGCTTTCTGCCTGTGATCCGCGCTGCCCTCCAGTCCTGACTTCCCACTTCAGCAGAGTTGCTTTGCTTCACCTGTCCCCATTGCAGCCTGCACCGCTGAGAATTCTCACCTCAGCTGACCCCAAGGTTGAGGTTTCCATCAATTCACCCTACCCCAAGGGTGGTACCTGGCATTCACGCTCCAGCTCAGCACTGCTCTGGCCAAGATGATTCTTCTTTCCATCCTGGGACACTCCCGTCTCCCTGCCTGATCTGCTATTTGCTGTAATGCACCCCACTCAAATACCCTTCATCAGCTCTTTCAATATCTTACCTATCCCTCAAAGCCCAGATCACATTTCCCTTCTTCCAGGAAGCTGTCCTCGACTCTTCCGCCTGAAACTAACCTCCCTTTCCTCCAGTTCTTAGTTTTACTGAATTGTGTAATGTAAGTCAGGCAGTGCCTGGTATGAACTACCAAGAACGTAATTGGTTCCTGCTCGTCTCCTGCCTGCCTACCATGCATGGCCAAGGAGGTGTGCCTGTTGGTTAACTGGGCACTTGACTGATGACGAGATGGTTCTCAAACTCCATAGTCACTGGTAAAATTCTTGTAAGTTGGGAAACGCTAGCCCAACAGCTTATAAGTTTCCTGAGCCTGCACTGGAGGGCTTTCTTTCCACGCCTCCACTAAATGTCTTTCTGATGCCAGGTGGTCTTGTCTATTTTCATTTTATTTCTTGTGATCCTTCTGTGACATGGTTTCTAAATAGAGCTCTTAAAACTGGCCTGAGATTTAAATTTCTCTCTTGTATCTGTAGGAATAATGGCCACCACTCCCCTGACCTTGGATCTCTGGAAGAATGTTTAAATCCACATTTTTTTCTCATTCTGAGTAGAATGGGCTGGGGGAAGGTTGCGTATTTTAGCAGAAAGCTGTGAGTTGATGAGCACTTAGTAAGTTATAATTGATGTTTAAATTTTATTTATGCATTTCAGTTTAGAGACATTTTAAGAGCCTGCGAAGATGATTATAGGATACCACTTCCAGGAAAGGTTTATTGTTTATAAATCACAAAGCCTTGCAGGGCTAGTTCTGCACAGGTGTTTCCCAGGCAGGTATTTGGGGGTGGGGCTCTAACGGAGAAACTTGATGGCATAGGACTACCAAGTGTTTACCAAAATTGACACTCAGCTGATAGCAAAAAGAATGAGAATAATATGGAAATGAGTCAAATGGGGACATTTATATGTTAATAAAACATAAGCAGTTTCTATTTAATGGGTAAATATTCTACCCTCTAGTCTGAGTCGAGTCTCTGGGGCTTTGTCCTGTCTTTACTCAGTTTTATAGAAAATATGTTAGTGATTTATGGTTCTACGAGGTCTGACAATTAAGTTCGTGAACTTGTTGCAATGATGTTGCTAACTTTTTTATATCAAAGGGATTGTTCATTATGAATTTGTACCAACTGGACTAACAGTTAAGCAAGTTTACTATTTGGAAGTGCTGAAAAGGCTATGTGAAAAAGTTAGGCGACCTGAACTTTTTGCCAACAATTCATGGCTCTTGCATCACAGCAATGCTCACCTGCCACTGTCTGTGAGGGAGTGTTTAGCCAGTAAACAAATAACTGTATTGGAACACCCTCCCTACTCACCTGATCTGGCCCCCAATGACTCCTTTCTTTATGCAAAGACAAAGGAAATATTGAAAGGAAGACATTTTGATGAAATTCAGGACATCAAGGGTAATATGACAACAGCTCTGATGGCCATTCCAGAAAAAGAGTTCCACAATTGCTTTGAAGTGTGGGCTAGGTGCTGGCATCAGTGCATAGCTTCCAAAGGGGAGTACTTCGAAGATGACCATAGTGATATTCAGCAGTGAGGTATGTGGCACTTTTTCTGGGATGAGTTCTGGGATGAGTTCTTGAACTTAATTGTCTGACCTCAACCTCATACATCAGCTAATGTTTGACGTCACTTGGGAGGTTGGGCGAGCTCACCTCCAGTCGGCAGCAGCCATTGTCTGTGACTTCAGCTTAGCTCCTATGCAGGGTCGCTGCTTTGTTGTGCTTTCTGCTCCCACATATGGATGTTGTGTTGAGTGATATACATGTCTCTGGAGGGTGGAACTTGTATCCAGGCAAGGTTCCCCTAATGGAGCAGAAGGTCCTGATTCTGTTCATTGGCCCTTGTGCTCCAGGGTGGTGAAATGTCTTCTAATCGTTGATATAAGCATGGACACAGTGAAACCTTTTAGGGTGTACACACCTGTCCTGCTGCTGGTACTGGCTTCCGGTTTAGACTTCAGGTTCTAGAGGAAGTTGTGTTGGCCTCTGAGTCATGTGAATTCTGTGTTGGGCATTCTGTCACATGAGTGTTGACTTTTCACAAGGAAGGGGTCTAGATTCAGCAGGGATGGTCTCTTCCTGCAATATTTGTTGTCTGAATTCTTACAACACCCTTTTTGGCCTGTCCCCTTTGCTATTTAAAAGGATGGCTATCCTCTGCAGGCCTGACTCTTGCATGTCCTAGCTGTGGGCCACATCAGCTAATTTTTTATCTCGCTGGTGGAGAATAGAAGAGCTCAGCCTCCAGACCTAATCATCAGCCCTGTTTTTAATTTAATTCTGACGCAGGGGAGCTGATAGAAATCGCCAAGTATTCATAGCAGCAACCAGTGGATCTGTCCAACTTTATTACTTAAATTTTGATTAGGATATAAACAAATACAAGGAAATTTTGTACTAATTGTAAAACAGATTTTAGGGCTCCAGAGGAAACTTGGTGGATTCAAACATGCTATTTAATAAAGGAGTCTCAACTAACATATTTGTTGCCACACCCAAAGGAGATATTACACTGTTGTAAGGAAGAATTGGCCGCTCCTAGGAATTTTTCCTGGGCTGAGTATGCCTCCTTACCTTGGGGAGAGCTCCCTTACTGCTCTTTTGGCCTCAAGGATTTGCATCTGTGCCTCCTCCTTTCCAAAGGATGATGTCACGAACCTTCAAAGACTCTACTGGGACCACATTGGGATTTGAGATGCTGTAGTGTATCAGCGCACCTGGGCGCCTGCTTGGGCAATTCTGAGTGTGTTGCTTCGGATCACCTCCTCGCTTCCCATGAACTAGCCAAAGGCACTTCCTGGAGGCAGGAACCTCTCAGAGAGACAATGTCACCTAGCCACTGCCCTCTGGCCTCTGAATCTCAGGACTGCCAAACTGAATTTTAACAACTATAAAATCCTACACATTTCCAGATGCTGTAATTCAGTGTATTTTCTGCAGGCAGATGGCTTTTTGATAATTACTGAAGGAGACGGTGTGGGAATCATTGCATAGAGGAAGAGCCAGAATGTTCCAGAATGTTCTGGGAAGTTCTTCCCCTCCTTTTCTTGTCATCGTTCTCAGCTGCTGCCTAAGTGTATAGGGATAGGCAACATCAGTGTGTTTCAAGTTTATGGCAGCTGGAGGCTGCAGAGTGCGGAGAGTAGAAAACAAGTCTGTGAACTAGGACAACAGAAAAAGCATGAGCCCTGAAGGACAGCTTTTGAAGTAACAGGCATCCTTAAGTAATAATGGACATCTTTCCTTTATGAATAAGAACTGGGAAATGACCCATTTCTTCAAATGCTGGCATACATGGTTGTAGGATGGCTGGTGTTTGGCGGTAGACTTTCTGTCACATTACAATGTCATGTTTTCGGGATTTTTATGTTAAATCAGATGAGGAGATTGTATGGCTTTCCTTGGTTTTAGTAAAGTGAATCCTTTTTTTGGTTTATAGTTCCCATAAAATTTTGTATTGTACAACAAATAAATTAATATGTAAATGAAATATGTAATCTGTAAATGAAAATACATACTCAGATTTGTGGTAGAGTTTATTCTATACCTTCTGCCTTTACCTCCTATTTTTAAAATTTATTACTTAAGGTACGTATTCCCAAAAAGACATGAGAGAGCCATCATAAAATGGGTAAATTCACACAAGCAATATGTCTTTGATGTTCAAGCTGCTTAAAGTAATTCAAATGGGCTTGAAATGATGGTCCTTTCTGGCATTTCCTGAGATTTATTTTCATATGTTAACCCTGTTTGAATTTTTATTTCTCCTTTTCTGAAGAAAGAAATCCTTGGGTGCACATGATATTAAGCCAGGGCTATTCTATTTGCGATTTCCGAGCTGTCCTGTGTCACTCTGTTTTAAGTCTTACATTGCCAAAGCAGCTTACTCTGGTTGTGCAGGACACTAATGGAACTTTCTAGAATTGATAAGCAATGACCACAGCATCATTTAAACTGGGTTAATAGGATCTTTTCTTTTTTGCAGTGTTGGTGTGTGAGAGTTGGGCTTGAGTGCGCAAATGGCTGTGAACCCTTAGCGTGATACATGATCGAAGGAACACTTCACCCTTTTCCTCCTTGGTAAGTCAGACATCTAAGTGGGAAATGAAGAGACCAACCATTTCATAGATTTGCATACTGTGATAGCTTATGAGCTTCACTTATCTCTGCTGTTAAAAATGGCAGTGAATGGGCAAGCTTTCAGAAAGACAAATCTTTACGTCAAAACAATTTTGGACCATCCCCTCTGGGAAATCATGCAGGAAGTCCAAAAGGCACATTGTCATAGCATGCCAGCCCACAGTGTGATCGTCCACCTGGCTTCAGTTTATTTTGCACCCTTATATGTACTGCTGCTTATTAGGGCAAGCATGCAATTATTTTGGGCTTTCCGATAGTTATGTTACACAAAAGTGTTCTGGCGTCAGATCTCCCTCTTTTATTACAAACAAACACAGATGTTTAGAAGAGTCACGTTTGAACAAGAGTGACATACTTAAATCATGGAATAACATGGGTCGCCCTTTGCCTCATATATCAAATGAGGTCTTTTTTTATTTTTTTAACAAAAGAATACTCTGACACCTTCGGGCCCATTTGACTCTCTACTCTACTGGTTATCGAAAAATACGGGCAAAGAAAAACCAATTAATGTGTGTTTCTTTAAGAAATTTAAGTAGGGAACTACTTCATTCATTCATTCATTCATTCATTCATTCATTCATGGATTCATGCATTCATAGAAATAAATAGTTGCAGCAAGCCCACAAGCCTGATGCAGGAGAACTTTTGGAGATGGGCCTTTCTCAAGAGCCACTGGTCTCTACGTACTTGTGCCAGGAGTAATGGAAAAGTTATCTTCACTTTAATAGCGATAATATAAAAAAAATAAAATTATGATATAATGGTAATGGAAAGGTATATATGATACCTTATTAACTGGAAAGAAGAAATTGCAGAATAATATGTTTAACCTAATTTTATGGATCTTAGAAATGCGCGCACACAAACACATAATCTCTACACAGAAGTCATGCGTGTTATAATGTCTAGCAGAACATGTATCAATCAATACATGTAAAGAAGTAAATAGCAAATCTCTGCAGTTGAGGCTGTTGGCACATTATGAGCCATATATTCACTGTCTAAAATTTCCGATTTTGAAATTTGCAATTTGAGAGAATGAATTAAAAAAGGATTCACGTAGTGACTGGTGAATGCTCATTATGGAAAATATGTACAAGAAAGGGAAAATTCACTCAGAATGCCTTCAGCAAAGACAAGCACTGTTAGCATTTAATGAAATGAATTGTCAGTGTTTCAGTGAATTGTCCTGTTCTGGCAGCAAGTCTGTTTTGTGGTATTTGTTGTTCTACATATATTATGGACGCAGGTATATCACTTGCTTAAACATGCTGAGTGGCTGTATTTTGGGATGAAGATTTAGCCTGTCATTCTTAGTGACGTCAGAAGTACTAAAGGCGTAGACCCCACTCCTTCTTCCTGTCCTGTTGTCTAGCCAGCCTGGTGGACAGTCTCTGTGAAACGATGTGCAAAGGCCCGTGCACATCTGATGTGTGTGTCACATGCATTTCACTCTGTGTTAGCGGAGCTCACTCACAGGATGGTCTGCTCCCATTATCCACATTAGGATGTATCAGAATTCCCAGTATGGAGCTGGGATAACCTTGCTTTATCTCCTTTTCTTCATGTGGGGTTCTGGCCTTTTTTGTCATTTGTTTAGCTGAACATCTGCCAAGTATGTTGTTGTCCTGAAGGGTGCTGACTCCTGTAAATATTTGTGAATCACAGATGTGTGGGGAAGTTCAGAACCCTATTCGTTCCTTTGTTTTAAGTGGGGCTGGGAAGGACGTACATGTACTGTTGATTCTCAGGAACCCATTAGAAGGCAGTTGTGTGTGGGGATAAAAGCTTGGATTTGAAGATTTGCAGTATATGGGAGGAAACTGCCCTTTTGATTAAGCTGTGCATAAGATCTTTATTTGGCAGAACTTTCCTAAGGGCAGAAAAATGACCTTGTGTTTGGGTTTCATGGGACTTGGGGTTTTCCGACATCGTGGTCTCCAGATCAGAGTACTGGAGAGGTTTCTGTAGCTGCAAGGCTGCAAACCTAATCAGTTCATGTTTTATCTGCTGGAGTTTTTCATGTGGTTTTCATGCATGTTTGTGTCTCCTGTAGCCTCCCAGGCCAGAAAGGGAGCAGAGTATTTTTGCTTCATTTGCTTTTGCTTACAGCTTGGACAATAACCACTGTTGGTTAAACCAAAGCAGAAAAAGCAAAGGTTGGAAAGATGGCCAGGAGATTCTGGGAAGTAAATACCACCATATTTTCATATGACCATATCTAAGAATAGTGAACAAATCTTACATTTCCAGCATGGAAGAATTAGATGGCATCTAAGTTATTTTCCATAGCTTGGATTTGTTTGGTTATGACTGCCCTACTTATAGTTCGGAGGCCATGTACCTTTGAGACCTGTTGTTCCTCCTTCCATAGCAAGCCACCTCCTTGCTAGAGTGATGGCTTGAAGATGAGACACCTGCCCAAGCTGGCCCATCACACAGACCATCTGGTGGCCACTCTGGTTCATTCAAGTTGAGGCCATGCCTCCAGCTTGGACACCAATATCATATTTCTTCTCTCCAACCCAAAGATAGTACTTAACCATTAAGTTGCACCTCCTCTGTGTCTCCACACTCCCATGCATATCCCCTCAATGACTATTTGTCGTTGAATTCCTTGTAGTATTTCCTGTGTGTGCGTAGTCTTTCCTCTTCAGAACATGAGGCTCTTGACTTGACTGAGTTCGTCTTCTCAGTACATAACAGTCTAGCACATGGTAAATGCCGGGTGTGCGTGTGCTGTGTACAGAAGTGATTTCTACTGAGATTTTGTAAAACATACCTTCTCTAATGGCCCTTAACAGGGTGATAAAAATGTGCTCCTCTCACCTTCTGATTGTGCTACATTTGATTTAAGATGTTTATTTCATGATTTTTTCCAATAATTAAATAATTAGATTTGCTGTAGCTATATAGACTTTCCCCGTATTATCCAGCTGAGGACACTCACTCTCCTGCTTTCCTGGACAGTCGTGTCTGTTGTCCATATGCGTGAACCTCATTGCTGGTGTATCACAGACAGGAAAGTGTGCACGGTCCTTCCACAGTCTCTCCCTGCTGGCTGTCTGTAAGTTGTGCAGAGAACTGCAGAGGAAGGCAAGATTTATCAAGTAGCACACAGACCACGACCCATGTGCCCTCCCCTCCACTGTGGGATCAGATGTCAGTTCCTTCCTGGCATTTGACATTTCTTAAGTGGAGCATTTGGACCTACTGTCATGTCACAGCAGAATTTCGTCAGTATCATCTTCCAGGCGTACATATTATGAAATGTAAAACTAGCAGAGAACAGCATGGCTGTCGGGTCATGAGGCCAAGCCAAGCTCAGAGCCCTGAAGTCGTAGTTCCTGTAAATTAGTTCTCTTGTATGTACATGCTCAAGAAGCAGATTGGTGTGTCTTCAGGGAGTCCCTGCTATCTGGGAGCACAATCCTGGGGCAGTGGGATATGTGGGTACAGATAGAGGTAGACAGGCATACTTGTAGGTAGATATTAATATAGATGATGATAGACATTGATATAGATGGTATAGGTATAGATATGATATTGATAGGCATATATAGCTAGATAAAAATATATTGGGTTGTTGGAAAAGTCATGACGCATTTTTGCTACAAAAAACATAGAAAAAATATGTCATGACTTTTCCGGCAACCCAATAGATAGAAATAAAGAAATAGATAAAGATATAGATATAGATGATATAGATACAGATATGATATAGATATTGATAAGTATAGATAGATATTAATATAGATAGAGATAGAGTTAAAGATAAAGATATAGATATACTCATAGATATGGATATGGATATAGATATAGACCAACATAGATGTAGATACTGATACAACATACAGATGTAGACATATAGATATATAGGTTTATAGATATAGATATAGAAGGTGTAGACACAGACATAGGAATAGACATAGAAGGCACTATTTTTGGGACTTATGAAGGTCACTAGAGCAGGTTTACTGTCAATGAAATAAATGTCTAAAACAGTATGCTAAAGCCCAGGTCTGTGGGTTAATTATGAATTTATGGTAAATTATTTGTCAGCTGCTGAGTATCCATCCACATGACAGAGGAAGAAGATCACAGCTCTGCAGCACCTTTAAAATAAGGGACCTTTCACTGACTTGGTGCTGTAAGCACATGTGAGTGCGTGTACACACACACACACACACATGCACGCACGCGCGCGCACGCACATACACACACGAACATACACACTTACACATTTTTCATTGAACAATGTGGACAGTTGCCCACATCTCTTATTAGCCATTTCTGAACACATACCTGAGTTGTGCTGATGACTGTTTACGGCTGTGAGCAGCAGGTAGGAGGCATCCACGGACAAGTCACATAGTAGGCACTATTCACGGGCCATCACATAGTGGGTGCCATCCATGACTGGTTACATAGTAGGTGCTGTCCACGGAATGACAGTAGGCTTCATTCACGGACTGGTCATATAGTGGGTGCTACTCCCAGGCCAGTTACATAGTAGGTGCTATCCGCAGGCCGGTCACATGATAGGCACCAGACAGAACAGAACAACCTCCGTGAAGCATGTGCAGGAGCACATCCCCTGTGTTCGTGCTCATTCTAAATATCATCCCTGAACAAAGCAGCTTTTCAGTAGGCAGGCCTGGCTCTTTTCTCCCAAGTAACTCTGACTTTTCTGTATTTTTCCGAAATTTCCTCCTTAACTCAATTTGATGCTTAGTTATATGCTAACTTTATCATTCCACTGCCACATTTTCTATGGAGCGGATTACATTTCTTTTTATAACTTTCTATTTTATGTACTGTGTTATGCTCTTCTAAGATTATTTCACAATCTAGGTGTAGAAAAGGTCTGTGTGAAGGTCTCAGAAGTTTCTTCTGGGATGTCATCATAACAGCAATAATGAAAAAGTGAATCGCGA